TTATTTTATTTTATTGCATTTTTATTTTGTTTTGTTGCATTGCCTAGTTTTATTTATTTCTGTTTTATTTTATTGCATTTCACCTTTTTTTGTTTTGTTTTTTAAATAAAAACAGTCATGCCAATAAAGTGCTTTGATGTTGACAGTTTGACAACTGATAGTGAACTGAAGAACTGAAATGAAACACTTTCTCCCTCAGGTTTCCCTATAGATTTCTCTTCTGAATAATCCCTTGTTTTCTCAAACTCCTCAGCCCTGGGCATAATGCTGTCAGGATCGCAGGTTGAGCTCAGATCAAATGCAGAAATCCCACAGATTTCAGGATCGCCTGCTTCTCCTCTTCCTCCCTCGTTTCTCCCTCACATCCATCCCAGACAAATGACCAGAGATATGAGGTGTGAGCCGAATTTGACATGCCAATTGCCGCAATCAAGGGCTTACAGCTCTAATAGAAATTTGGAGACAGCTTGTTGCGCTCCTTCAAGAAACCAGTCAACTCAGAGAAAAGACTGTCGTTCTTTTTCTTTTCATTCTCTGTTGTTTCAAAGCTAAGTGCATCGCGAACATTTCGTCCATTCAGAGATGTGAAGCACCGAAATTGTATATTCTGTGGATTGATTTGAAATGGAGGACACTGACAGTGTTTGGCCTCCGGCAGGGGCCAAGGTCAGACCACCACGATGTGGTAAGACCCCTGTCTTCCTCTTTCTCCTTTCCCACATTCCATGCTGCTCTCACACATTAAGAAGTCGAGCAGCGGCAATTACCCCAGCACACCTCCTCCCCGAATTCCCCGCTTCCTTCGCTTTTTTAAAGAGGGAAAATAAAGAGGCACTGTTTTACAACAAATCTGTTCGAGGGCTGTGTGTTCAGGCTGGTCCGCGGTGTGTGTGGATGTGAGTTCAGTGACGTTTGGCTCTTTTAATCCAAAGCAATTTATTGGTAGTTGTTATCGAGTTGTCTGTGTCACAAAGAGGAGATCTAGGTAAAACTCAAGTTCCTGGGTCAATTAAATGTTTGACTACACCTATAATCTGTATGTTAAGATGGCAGGAGCTTAACTGTTAGATCCTATCTCCCCGAGTGCAGGAGTCCATGTATATGTGCATGAGTGGTGTGTGTCGTTTGATGTGATGCTATGCTTCTTGTGTTCAGGACCACTGCACTTCTGAGTGATGCTGCGATCTTCAAAGAAATCACATGAACTTCGTTTTTCCAAGGATCTATAGGACATGCAGTCTTGGAGATATTGTGAAGCTCAGTGAAAATTGTATGCTCACATTCCTTTATAACAATGTTTACTTTGTGCTTTTGATTTATTTAACTGATGTAGCTGGACATATATATATATATTTTTTTTATATATTTTATTTTATTGCATAGTATTGCATCAAATTACACATTGGATGGCACCACTGAGGTGGGTTTTATTTTATTTTATATTTTATTTTATTGCATCATATTGCACCTTGGATGGTACCTCTGAGGTGGATTTTTTTCATTGCATTTTGTTGCATTGCATTGCTTCATGTGGCACCTTGTAGAGGAGCTGTTTTTTCTAAGCGATCAGACCTTGACAATAAAGACCTAGACAATAAAACAAAACATAAGACATAGATTTACACTGAAGTGACCCAGGGTGGGTGGGCCCTTTTGACTTGGGCAAGTATGCAACCACCCAGAAAACCCTAGCATTGTGCTGCTGAGTTTTGCACAGACAAGTGCCATGCACCATAAACATTTTCTTCAGAAAATGCAAAAGTCTACATGGTATTTTTTTTTTTAAACTGAGGGAACAAAAATCACAAATTCTGTAGACTACACTGATATGATTGACTCTTCTGAGCATTTAAAGATTTTTATGAATAAGTGGCAATAGAGGGGGAATGCTATGCACCAAGAATAATTCTTTCTCTTTCTGTGTTGGCACCTGCATGGTTTGAGAGAAAATTGGGTTTACAAGAATACTCTTTATTTTCATTATAGCATTTTATAAATGTAAGTGGAGCACAGTTTGCATTCAAAAAAGTGTTTTCAGAACAAAAAAGAGTGTTTTCAGGATTTTGCTATGTGGTTGTCAAGGTGATGAGATATGGCTCAAGTTTTTATTTCTCCTGAACTAGCCACACAAATAAACCCTTAACTGTAAGTATGAACTGTAAGCAAAACACACTGAATTCAAAGGTCAGACAAACAAGAATTCAAAATAGTTTCATAAAACATCCTACTATACTGGTATTGCTGATGTAGACAAATGAACCCAGTAAATGTTCTGGCAAAGTAAAGGAACGAAACCGAGTGATAAAGCAGGACTGACAGAAAACAATAACTCCACACGTACATTCTTTGACTGTGATAGTGCCTGAGAGCAGATGACTCTGTAGTACACACTGGATAGAGGTCAGATTCCTTGGTGGAGTAACGTAATATACCTTTGGACAAGAATCTTTTAATTACTTCTGTATAACGGTGTGTTTGTGTGTGCGGGTGTCTGTGCTGCTCAGATATGTTGTGATTCAGCTTGTGCTGTGTCATCACTGAAAGCGTCTCAGCTCAGGGAGAAACAGCTAGTTTCCTTCAACTCTGACTCACACTGATATCAGTAGAGGAGCAGACGAGTGTGTGAGTTTGTCTGGAGGTGAAGTTCTGTTTTGTTTACTCGTTGCGTGGTTTGGTCATATTAATAAAACGTAAGTCTAAAAATAGCTTAACAGAGTGCTTTATTGATAGGGAGGAGCAGCCCACCTCCTTCAGCTCAATCTCCAGCAGTAGTTGAGAGTGTTATGAACTCTGATTACATCCTGTCTGCAGCATTTTCTAGATTTACATCTATCTATCTATCTATCTATCTATCTATCTATCTGTCTGTCTGTCTGTCTGTCTGTCTGTCTGACTGTCTGCCTATCCATCTGTCTGTCTGTCGTTCTATCCGTCTGTCTGTCTGTCTGTCTGTCTGTCTATCTATCTATCTATCTATCTATCTATCCATCTATCGTCTGTCTGCCTATCGCTCTGTCTGTCTGTCATTCTATCTATCTATCTGTCTATAGGTCCATACATCTGTCGTTCTGTCTGTAATTCTATCTATCTATCTATCTATCTATCTACTGTATATATCTATTTATCATCCGTCCCTCCCTCCCTCCCTCCATCCATCCATCCATCCATCCATCCATCGTATGTATGTCTGTCTGTCTGTCTATCTATCTATCTATCTATCTACTGTATATATCTATCATCCGTCCCTCCCTCCATCCATCCATCCATCGTATGTCTGTCTGTCTGTCTGTCTGTCTATCTATCTATCGTCTGTCTGTCGTTCTATCTGTCATGATAATGTTCAATCAAGTTCTTATAGTCTCGTAGTCTTTCACTAGCCTACTCCTTGGCTCTGTTACTAACTTTGTAACTTAAATGTTCACATTTTTTCGCTAGGCTTCTGCCATTCTTACTATCTTTGCCTTATAGGACTGCACTGCACTTCTGATGTAGCCTGTGGAAACAAACAGTCATCCACTTCTGGAAGATATTTCACAACTTTATGGCTGTTTTTACTGCATGCCAGCTTCTGTGGAAGTCTTTATTGGGCATGATGTTCTTATAGGAACATACTGCTCAGCTGCCAGTGAAAGCACTTTTTAATGGGGAATCCCTCTCAGGTGCCAGACAGCTCACTGTATTTCATTCTCATTTTCTTTATTTGACTGTACTTTTTTGTTAATAATGTCATAAAAGAGTTTATATATTTATTAAAGTGCCTTAATAAAACCTAAGGTGGCTTTATTATGCATGACAGAAAGTGAAACATATAAGGGTAAGGGAAAACAAACAGAATGTGAGACAGAAAATCAGTACAGAAATGTATCTTTCATTCAGCCTATTAAATTTTTTTTTCCTGTTTTCAGTTTCCAAACTTTCACAATTGCTGTTCCTCTCCTTGCATCATTCAAGTTTCATTTCCTCTGATCGTTGTTCCTCCTTCAAATCCTCTCAGTCACTCTGTCGGTCACTGTACATCAAGATCTGATCCTCTTGCCTTTCAGAATGGGTGAGTAAGTCTTACAGCTGGACTCTAGGATTTTTTCTCACGTCATTTATTCACAATTCTGCTGAAAGCACAAGTGAAAAGGGAGTAATACAGGAAGACCTTTATTGGTAACAAGAATAGAAACTATTGTGTAAATATAAAACAAGCAAGCCACTTCTGAAGAAAAAGATGTATCATTTTGTAAAGTACCATATAGCCTATTTATGTAACCATTGTAGTATAAATGACAATAAAGTGTCTTTATTGTTATAGAAATGCACACACACTATTTTATTTAGTTTTACAAAAAGTTATTTTATATATATATATATATAAAAAAAAGTAATTTGTATCCTTCCGCTTGAAAATATAGTCCCTGATTTGACAGAACGTTGCTATGCAACAAGCGCTCCGCTATGGGCGATGCACTGATTCGCATCGGTAAACAGGTGTTTTGACGTTTCGTTTGGCCTACTATGTCGTGGTTTTTAGCTGTATCAAAAGACAGGACCCAAACCATTCATTTTATAATGCACATGTTAACAGTTACGACATGAAACGCCGTGCACATCGCTACTCGGCTATATCACTACGCACAACGTTCTTCTATCGTTTACGTCTTAGTAAATTCTTGCGGCAAATGGCGCATTGCTTTATTAATTAATTCCTTTTTACTTAATATTTTATAAATGAAGAGTTTTATAAAAACAATACGTAATTCGAAGTCATATGCCTGCTATATTGTGAATAGTGACAGCTAAATGGGTTGCAAGTGCAAGTTTTTAACGAGGGCCCGTTTCAGTCAACACATTTTACATACAAATTTGAGATTTAAGTGCCTCAGTAAGGGGTTGAAGGGTTAAATTTCACATGCAGCTCCAGCCAACCGCCTCCTCGAGCGCTCATCGGTGATTACCGGAGCGCGAGGGGAGGCGCATATATTCCGCAGATCAGGCGTGCATGAGACAGCATTCAGTGCACGAACTCTAGAGAACGAGACCAACTCTGATCTCTTTGCTTCTGCTTTATTCATGGATGCTAACCTGGGATTGTACTTTCACTGCATGACGACCTACTTCTTGAAGATCCAGTGCTGAGGTCTATATGAAGTGCATGGACCCACTTGAAGAATTCTTCATTCTTTTGTGAAAAATTTCTCTTTGAGTTTTAATCTATATAGCCTATTGACCTAGGCAATGCAAAAGGGTTTCTGTCTCTGGATTGTTCATGCTTGGACAGCCATGACAACCTTTTGCAAGTTAAATCACTTTTGAGATTAAGTACTAGGGCGCATTTGGACCAGCACCAGCACCTGGAGTACCAGGACAGTTTGGATTCTCCTCTGTAGACTTGAGCTGGTGCTTCGGGTCATTTAAAGGGAGATCTCTTCAAGGTATGGTTCTGGACCCTCTGCGCTCAGGAGCGGTTCCAAGGCTCCTACAGTCTGCATCTTTCTTATTGGGTGGAAAATTGACATTGGAAGGAGATGAGAACCTTATTCTGCTGCTTTCTGCTCCTCACCTCGCACCTTCTGCTGGCAACTGCTGAGGTAAAGTGGCAAAGATCCCACAAAAACGGAACCTTGTTAAATCCACAGCAAAGTTCTGGCTTGTCACACCGGAGCAGGTCGTAAAGTTTAGGCTATATAATCCACCTTATATATAGTCATAGAGCTTTGAAACGGATCAGTCTCGATTTATCATTTATCATGAGGTCAAATTCATTATATTCCCCCCCCCCCCCCTACTCTTTTT